ATCCCGGTTGGAAAACCGGGACTATTGGCAGTTATGAACAGGGAGTACAAAAGGATTCTTCAGCAGTGAGATACCATAGATAGAATTACTAAAAGATGTTTAATTACCGTCGCAGCAAGTTTTGCTATATGCCAAACAAAATAGGTTGCAATATCAAACCGAGTTGGGATGATTTTTAGAATTTTAAAATAGTTAATTTTCGCATCATTCAGATAGGAAAAGTGATGATCACGAGACTTGTATTTTTACAAATCGATGCTATAGTAATTCAGAAGGGTATGTGGCAGTTGATGCTCTTTGCGATTGTACTTTCCAGCACCGGCCGCATTTTTTATTTGTGTCTGTTGTTTTGCCTGCATAGGGTTTTGACACTGTTACTTGGGTTGTGATGGGCCTTGTGGCTGATTGGGCTGTTACTAGGCCATGCTTTCATGGTTGCCTGCTGTTGGGTTCCAGCTCATTTAGGTTGCAAGCTAAGTCGAGTTAGCTCGTTATGCCTAACGAGCAAAATACTTGGCTTGACTTGTTAGTAATTCCCAATGAGCCGACCCGAGCGAAGTGAGCCAGTCACGAGATGAGTAAGTTAATGAGCCACGAGTTTTTTGTCTAGCCCTTAGTGGGCCATATGCTAGGGCTGCTTGCTTGTGCGCCTATCACCTAGGCTGCTACCAACCGCGTCTCAATGACCAAAGAGCATCGATGTTCGAAGGGCAAGGCACCGCGTGGGTGCGTCGAATCGACTCCTGGAGCGTGGCAATGTATGTTGGCGTCAGCATCTGCGGTGGTGACGGTGGCGGTGATCGCGACGCGCGGGGAGGGGGGGTGGACAATTCTTCTCCATTCCCCACTCNAGCTGTAGATACAGGACGGGGACGGCACTTTGCNGGANCATGCANCNGCCGTTCGGANGCCTATTGGANCAATGANNNCGATTATCAGCGNNAGATGCNNAGGCNACAATCAATATAANCACNTCTTGCCGAGNTNNCNAGCACGNCANNCNTGGCCTANTCGTTTNTGCATCAGATGCTNTTTGNCNATTGTNNCTNTNACCTATATNCTTTAGCTTGACCTTNTNTTNATTCTTTTGTGNCTTGTTTAGTAAGCNATGGATAAGCATGTCACCACTTNTCTCTTCAGTTTCTATTTGGTTANGAAGCTTTGTAAATCCGGACCTGGACCTTAATTGTTTTGTTGATTTTAATAAAACCAAACTACTGGGTAAGACCCGATAGTCTTTTCTTCAAAAAAAAAGGTAAATCATGTTTTGTGTGTAAAATCCATCTTTAGCTTGCACTTTTGTTCATTGATTTGTGATTTATTTGGTGGGCAATGTTATTCAATAGAGGTTAGGGTTGAAGCATATGCCACCATAGATGCTGCTGGTAGGAAAACTTACACCAATGGGATGTGGATACAGAAAGCTTTTCTATGGAGTTTGTATTGAGTTCACATGGGAGTGTGAACCAGTCTCCAGTCATATGGTTCTTTCATAACTCAGAGTGCTGAAATCCCTGATATAACAGCTGCTGTCACTGGTCGGAGTGGGGTGGCCATTGCTAGTGGGGTGCCGGCACCTGAGGCTCAAATAGTGATGCTGATCCTCTAATTTATAACATTTTTCACGATCCTGAGAATCTAAACATTGTGAAAAATGTATTGTTCTGACACGGTATCTCTGAGGAAAGCTGTAAGGTATAATGCCATTTAGAAAGGGTTTGAATTTGCTAAGGGTTTGAAGACAGATCCAACAAGATTTATTGCAAAATGTGTAGCTGAAGGTTACTCTTGGCGCATACATGCATCATTGTTTGTGGACAAGTAGACAGGAAAGGTCATTGCTTATTGACTAACTGAATTTCGTTGTTCTTTTAATTTTGATTTTGTTTAGTCATGTGTGGCATTACTGATTTGGCAGCTCATGGTTCTCCCCTTGGAGCACAGTTGTTCCTCTATAAAGTTGCATCAAGGGAAGATGGCAACCCAAGGTTAGTGTGCAGATAGGCTTACAGACTGGATCAAGAAGAATTCACACAAAGACCTTGTAATTGTGTCGTGCTCTAAGCTCAAGGGGTGGACGCCCTAAGGCTAACCCTAGGTTGTCGTTAATCATATTTATTCAGTAGCCATCATTGTTTAGAGTCAGGTTTTTCTTAGATTATTTCCAACATTACAATTTCATCGCTAGTTAGGTTTGTAGAACCCAACTTCGAGTGCATAATCATTCATCTGCAACTGAGTTGCAATCTCTCTTAGTTTTGTTTGTGTTATTCGGTTTACATGTAGGGATTAGCCTTCTCAATGAGGTAAATTGGATTTTAGCATGTTTGATTACCATAAGAGATGTGGTGCTGCGATTGTAGAGTTTGGATTGTGTTGATCAGAAACCGGATCATGCGCGTCAAGTTTTCGTCAAATAGAGAGTTATCAGTACCTATTAGAAGATCAGGACCTATTTCCTCATCAGAGTCAGTCTCAAGGACTACATATGCCATTAGGAATAGCAAATTATGACAATTAATTGCAACAACTGCTGCCAACTAAGCTATGATTATTTTGACGAAAGGAAAAGCTATGTCAACTTTGTGTCGATGGTTGAAACACTTCAAGCTACAGTTGATGAAATAGTTCATCGTACCTTGTTCGATCAATCTGGAGTTTTGACGGATATATTGCAAAATTCGATCAAAAGGATAGTTGATGAGTTAATTGTCCAAAGACGCCAGCTCGGGTGGCAGATTGAAGAACAACAACAATATCGGCTCGGGGGGAAAACATATCAGTATCAGCATGATGAGGCATATCAACAATATCGGCCAGAAGGAATTCAAAGACATCAGTGTGGAGGACATTTGGCCAATAGAATTGCAAAGATAATAGAGGAGTAGTTTGGATTCAAGCCTAAGGAACATACTTCAGTGTATCAGCTACCATATCCTGAGTGGTTTGATAGGGTTCCATTTCCACACCGATACAAGGTTCTAGACTTGTCCAAGTTTTCAAGGCAAGACGATATATCTACAATGGAACATGTCAGCCGATTCTTAGCACAATGTGAGGAGGCATCGGCTGAAGAAACTCTGAAAGTTAGATTTTTCCGATTATCCTTGACTAGATCGGCCTTCACATGGTTTTCTTCTTTACCATCAAATTCTATCAAAGGTTGGGCCGATCTAGAAAAGCAATTTCATACATACTTCTTCGCTCGCATCGATGAGATGAAACTTTCAGATTTGATATCAGTTCAGCAGCAGGAAGGAGAATCGGTTATGGAATATATTCACAGATTTCGTAATGTCCGCAACCGATGTTATAGTTTAAGTCTAAGCGATGAGCAGCTAGCAGATCTTGCGTTCCAAGGGCTATCAACACCTATCAGAGAAAGATTCTTTTGCCATGAGTTTGACAGCTTAGCTTATCTAATGCAGACAGTATCGGCTCATGAAAGCCGATTGGAAGAAGCAAAGGAAGATCAATTTTGGAGGTACCAAGATCGGACAGAAGATAATTTTGAAGCATGAGACCTCATACTCAAAAATTGGGGGGCATGTGTTAACGCCAAAATTTGGTAAGCCCGAAGTCACCATCGGCCTAGAGTCAGTGTCGGCTTCAGAGTCCTGGGATCGGCCGATGAGAGTTATCAAATCGCCCGTTGTCGGATTCTTACTATATTCGGTTAAGGAAATTAATCTACTAAAGGAAGCTTATCCAGAAGTGATCGAATTCAAGGAGGATGCGGCATGGCGAGTTATCTATTAATTAGGAATAGTTTGTTAGTTTCCTTTTATCCTTAGGAAAGTGTGTTTAGTGTCCTATAAGGACTTTATGTTTTTATTTTTTTAGGAAAGTTTCTTTCTTGTCCTACAAGGACTAGTATCTTACCATGGGTATAAATATGTACACCCGGGGTCATTGTACAAATATCTCTCGATCAATACAACTACTCTCGGCCCATCGCCACCCTCTTTTTTGAGGTTTTTTCTTATTCAACCGGCGGAATTTGGCACCTGACGCGGGGCTATATCGGTTCAGTTCGATCTCCGGCGAAGGGGTAAGTCCTACGTTCCGCCGGCCCTGGCGAATCTATCGGCTGCGTTGGTGTTGTTCAAGGCTGCATCGCTTTGATCTCCTGGATCGCTCTGGTTTGGTTGATATATTTGCCTACCTGATATCTCAATTCTATCTCTAATTGCATTGTGTTTAGAGACGCATCAGTTTAGTTGGGACTGTCTCAGTTAGGTCCGATCTTCTGTCTTAGCCGATATATCTCTACAATCACAATGTTGTTCTAAATAGATTTGTTTTATCCATCACATTAGACAGATCTATCGGCTCATCGAGTATTAGATTATCGTATATAATCTCGTGCTGTATCGGTTAGGTTCGACCTACTATATTGTTGTTGATAATATAAATCTTGTTGAACTGATAGGTTCATGCTTTATCGGGGTGCTAGCCGATAAGTTATCTGGATGTTGCATCGGCTTATAAGGATTACATATAAGTTGGGTTTAGCCAATCGCAACAAATGTTACACTGTTTAATCTAATCTTGTGGATTTTACGACATCGGACCTGCAGCCGATGTATGCTTTAACCGTCGGATCAGTGCTTATTCTATCATGTCAATGTCAGCCGATTGGTTTATACTGGATTAAATTGTTGCTTTCTTGCATTATCATCAGCCGATTGCCTTTATGTCAATATCTACATTGGACATATAGCCGATTGCTCAAAATCCTATCGCTATCGGCTGGTATCGGCATCGGTTGGAATTAATACATCGGCTTGTCAGCCGATCGGCACATTGATCTGCTATTTGTATATCTTATCAGTTGTAGGGTCAAACTGACTGGTATGCCCACATCTCACCAACATTTGGTCCTGCACTGGAGCTATGCAGATCTCCCTGGCCAGTGTGTGTTTTTTCGCGTCAACACATTTTTTATCAAATGCTTACTGCTGCAATAGGTCATTGGCCCCCATACAGCAAGCTGAATATGCCCTCACTCTAACATCGATTGTCACATTGCTTTGATTAGATATACAAATTAAATTGTACCAAAGTACCCCTAATAACAAAAGGGTTGGCTAAATCGGTCCTATATTACACCATACATTACATTAGAAGAGAAGATATGAAATTACCTCTCCATCATATATTATAACCATAGTCAAATAGCAAGGAGATGGGGGTCGACAAGACAGAGCAGTGGGCAGCTACAAACAGCAATGGGTGGAGATCTCTGCAGCCAGTCGGCCTCCCTTTGCACCCCAGCTGCGGGCCGCCCTTCACTAGAGAGCCAAGTCGCACATAGGCCTCCCTCTGTCCAACCCCACCCCTTCCTTCCTCTGTTCCTGCGATCGGACGAGCTCCGAATGCGCTCACGCCCGCACCAGCCAATTTTCCTCTGAGCTCGTGCGCACTGAGCTCCATCCATGCCCGCACCGGCTGAGCTCCCTCCGCCCTGTGCCCACACCTGGCAGGGTTCCTTCGGCCTTTGGGACCGTGGCACCTAGCATAGCTCCATGCCGGCGACCGCACACTGCATCTTGCTCCGCGCCGCGACCTCCCTCCCGGCCACACGCTGAGCCACCAACACTTCGCTCACCTTCTGCTCGCCTACTGCCCAAAGCCTAGCTTCGTCAAGTCTAATATGGGATGACGGAAGCAGTGGCGAATCTATGATGAAAATGTAGGTGGGGTTTTATTTATCATCGTAATATAAAATAATCATATATCTTTGATCTATATCAACAATATTTGAAAATCCTACACGGATAGAAAAAAATACAGTGGATTAAAGAATGAAGGGAACTGAAGAGTGAAAAAGATTAAAAGATATATATAGGGATGGGCTACACACTGACAGCTACTAAAACACGAAAGTAAAAGTAATCCACATCGTTTCTTTCACCCTGAACATCTCCAGCCAAATATAGTCATCATCGGTTGGCTGTTTGCTGTAATTAATTTTGTTGGCACTATGAACTCACTAGTCACTACACATAGACATAGATATCTGGGATCAATCCCTGTCAGCCAGAGCTGGGGCTGGAGCCTCAACCAGCCCCAACAGTGGATTCGCCACAACCAGCCCCAACATTGGATTCGCCACTGGACGGAAGGGGGAGGAATTAGAATCCACCCACTCCTATGTTATTTCCTAGGAGCATTTCAGTCTTTCATCCTGAAAATGACATACACCCCTAAAGCTTGGTTTGGAAAGGGTCAGTCGGCAGGTTTGGTATTTTAAACCGGGGTTAAATAACCAAAGTTTAAAAGCAGGGCTAAACTCATAGTTAGGTTTTAAAATAGGTACAATGGTGCCATTGCCCCTACTAATTATGAAATTAAGGATTACGTGACCAAGGAAATCTAAAATTACCATGACTTAACTTTGTCTTTAAATAATATTGTTCATATGTCCTTAAATGTTTTCCATCTATCTATCTATAAGTTTACTAATTTGACTCTGAATAAGCTCCTAAGTTAATCATAAATATCTTACGATCAATTAGTTTGATCGAATGATCATGGCCTTAGATAGTCAAATTCGTATAAAATAAAAATATATACCTTCAAAGATAACACCAATTGAAAACCTATGCATACGGTTTAATTTGAATTGAAAACCTGTCCAGACCGAAAAATCATGTATAACTTTGTCAAGGTTGGCCAAACTAGGTATACGTAGTCATAAGCCAATTAATTGCTATAGAACTAGATCTTTGTCTGAATCAATATCAACTATATCAACTATTCCTAATTAATCTTAGTGATAGGTATGAAAGATTAATCTATCTGCTTTTTATTTAGAATGACTTGACCGAATTCATTTGTGTTAACTAAATATACCACTGAAAATTTCAAACTATTCAGATTTTTTATATATGCCGATACAATTAAGAAAAACAACTAATATTTTTACTAAATGGTTAAATTTTTAATATATTATAACATTCACAATAATAGTCCATGTAATACTTAGTCTGGCTACTAATATAAATAATGTATCTATACAAATAGCCCGTGTAAATACATGGGTTTCTGATGCTTCTACTTTGGTAGTACACTCACAATATTCTTGAATAGATGTTACTCTAGGATATGTGTAGGCAGAAATTGAAATGTTTAATAAATATTGTACAGGAAAATATTAAGGTTTGAGACATAGATATGTAAAATAGATATTTATATATTTATAAATATAGCTACTCACTTCTAGAAATCGGCAATAAGAAAAAGGGGTGGCATACGAAATCTAAAAGTGGATAAGTAAATGGAATAATGATTTAGACATGCTTAAACCTTGTCGACAAGAAGTAATACTCTACTCCTGATTGGGGATTGTATCCGTCGAGTGTGTATTGATTTGACAATCGAGTACGTTGTGAATATGCTCTTTGAGGGCTCCCTGTCCACCTTATATAGGATCGAGGGCATGGTTACAAAGAGGAAAGCTTAGCCGAACATGAGATTGGTTTCCATGCCGTGGGAAAGAAGGGAACATAATTCTCATGTCTTAAAGAAATTACGTAATACATGGATCCAGCTCACCTCCTATCTCTCTTTTTAGTAGTCTTTTTTAATGTTGATTTGAGAAAAAATAATGATGGAAAAGATGCATGTCACTACTACAGAAAATCTCATAGGTTGGGAATGGGCTATAGGTGCCAGTTTCCCAACCGGCACAGATTGGTCGGTACCTATTCTCGAAATTATTGGTGCGGGTTGTAGAGCCGGCACCTATGAGGCATATGGAAAAAAAAAAGAGAAAGAAACGCCACCAGTCTCCGCCACCCTGCCGCCCGCCATGCGTCTCGCCTTCCGCCACCGCCGCTGTAGGCCATGTGTGCGGCCACTTCACTACCTTCTCAACCACCACCATCCCATCCAATATCACATCATCCCCATCCAAAAATCAACAGCAAACTACTAAACAAGATGGACATGGAGGAGGAGAAAGCAATGGAGAACTCAAGAAGTCACCACCTCACCGAACGCCACATCGCTCGTGCCAGCCTCCACCGCCGCCGTTGCCACCGCCGTCGCGGGATCCGGCGGTTGCCGCCGGCCACCGCCTCGCTGCCTTGCCACCTCTCCACGCGTGCGCCGGCCGCCACCACCCGGGCCTGCCTCCGCGTCCTCCGTCGGCCGCCGCAACCACCTCGCCACGCCTGCGCCGGCCTCCGCGTCAGCCGCCACCCGGGCCTGCTGCCGCTCCTCCATCGACCGCCACCACTCCTCCGTCAGCTGCCGCGCCGTTCGATAGGTAAGGGGAGAGGAGGGGCGAAGGAGGAGAAATAAGAGGCGGAAGATGTGGATAAGAGAAACGATAAGGTCGTTGTGGATAAGAAGGAGCTGCGAGGTTGCATTATATGCTCCGGTTTTTTTAATAGGTGCCGGTTTTTCAACAGAGCCGACACCTATGCTTATATTATATGTGCCAGTTTTCTTTAGAACCGACACCTATAATATAAGAGTAGGTGTCGGTTCTATTAAAAAACCACTACCTACAGTATTGGTGCTGGTTTTTCTCTAGAATCAACACCTATATTAATTAAAGGTGTCGGTTCTATATTTTTTTCATCGTGTGGAGGTGGGAAAAGGCTCATAGGTGCCGGTTTTAAATGAACCGGCACGTATAAGGCCGGTTCCTATTAGGGTTTTTGTAGCAGTGTGTATTGATTAGTGCTTGTAATACTTCTACTCGATCCCTCTATGACGGAAAAAGTCTAGTACAGAAGATGGATGTAAGTTCAGATTCATCTATGGAATTGAATACTCTCTCCATTTTAAAACGTTTGACACCGTTGACTTTTAGTACGTGTTTGACCATTCGTCTTATTCAAAAATTTAAGTAATTATTTATTCTTTTCATATCATTTGATTCATTGTTAAATATACTTCATGTACACATATAGTTTTACATATTTCACAAATTTTTTTAATAAGATGAACGGTCAAACATGTGCTAAAAAGTCAACGGTGTCAAATATTTTGAAACGGAGGGAGTATTTTTTTACGTAGGGAAGTACATGGAGTCTCCTTACTGAACATATGGAACTCAATTCCTGATTGAACGGTACTGGCATGAACGGTAGAACGGGACAGTAGGGATAAGGATCAGGAAGTTCGGCAGAGATGTTTCCACGAGTTTAGTACGGTAGTATTGTTGATCCACATCACTAGGCACCGGAATTTCTGCCCGGTCATTCTCCTCCACACAAGAGCATACAATTTCTCCGGAAAGGACCCGGACCAGTAGAGATTGAGTTGGCGTGTAGCTCTTGCCTCTCAAACTCTCCCAATCGTTGTACTTAGCTCAGGTACAGGCACTGTATTTGTGTCTCTCATACTCTCACAATCATCGTATTAATTAGCACAGGTACAGGCATACTGTACGTTCTTGTTCTGGAAGACACGTGCTTTAGGTTTATCATGCACTTGCCAGCTGGTTCGGTAGAGCAGTAGCCAACGGCAACTTCCTTCTTATCACGAGCACGTCTCCTGTATGTTTTTCGAAAATAACAATTATGAAGAAGTTCTTTTCAAATACCAAATGAACTATTTTTTAAAAATTTTACTAGTTAATACTTAGTTAGTTTGCCTCGTTTCATATATCACCGACTTATCAAATCCTACTGCTCTATCGAACTAAGGGCATCAGCAATGTATCGTTTACCAACTACCACTACTACAAAACTGCATACAGAGGTCGGCGCTAAAGTTGCTAGAAGTGTTAAAACCTGCACTTATAGGTCTTCTCCCACTTTCGCGGCCTTAGAAAACAGAAAACAACACCTTTAAATGATTATAGGTGCCGGTTTTGTTTAAAAACCGACACTATACTACATGTGCTATGTTTTATTAAGAAAACCGGCACCCCCATAAAATCGAGGCGAGCCGAACTCCACACATTGCGCGTACCCTCTCCTCCTTATCTCCGAGCCGGCCTTATCCTCAACCTCTCTCACCCTCTCTCTTCCTCCTCCTCCTCCTCAACCTCGCTCTCTCTCTCCCCCTCCCCCCTCTCTCTCTCTGTCTCGCGGGAGAGGACACAAGAGCCAGTAGGCGATGGCCCAGCAATGGTGGTGGCCCCCTCCCCTCCGCTAGATCCGGTGAGAGGGGAGGCACCGGCAGCCCGACGGGAAGGGAGGCGATGGTTGCCAAGAAGGGAGGAAGAGAGGCGCATTCACCGAGCGGTCTCCCCGTACGCCTCCGACTCGTTCTGTCGGTGCTCTGTCTCCCTCTCTCAGCTCTCTCTCTCTCTCTCTCTCCCTCTCCCTCTCTCTCTCGGTCCCTTTCAACTGTCTCCCGCTTTCAGCCTCTCTCCAGCAGCCCGGCGGTGTTGCTGTCTCTTCCGCTAGATCCGGCGGGAGGTGAGGTGGTGGCGACGGTTCGGCGGTGGCCTGGCATTGGCGCCCTCCCCTCCTGGCGGCGGGGCTCTGCGGGACAACGTCGGCAGCATCCGCAGCGACGGAGCATCGGCGGCGGGGCCTCCCACTGCGGATCCGACGTTATCAGTAGTTAATTTAATCATTTGTGTTCATCTTGTGCATGGTGTCAATCCGTGTTCATTTGTTCATATATTAATCTGTGTTCATTTGTTCACCTTGTCCATGGTGTCGAAGTATCGACTCGAGCCGGGTTCCTTTTTTGTAGCTCGTGGATTCCACTTTGGTGCCGGTTTTTAAATGGGATTGGTGCCGGTGCACTCATCACTGCCGCCTCTATGGTGCCGGTCGGCACCTATGTGGGTTTACCAACCAGCACCTTTGATGTTTTGTGTTGTAGTTTACTATCTCAGTTTCATATTATAACTCATTTTGACTTTTTTAGTATAATTTCTTTTAAACTTGATAAGCTTTAGAAAAATGTAACAATATTTTAAGCACAAAACAAATATATTATCAAAATATATTTAATATTTCTTTCAATTAAACTAATTTGGTATTGTAGATGTTGCTAAATTTTTCTATAAACTTAGTCCAAATTAAAAAAAATTAAAAAGAAGTCAAGGCGACTTATAATATGAAAATAAGGTGGGTTCTAACAAAAAATAGGAAATTGTTTTTCAAAATCTCACAATGTGTAGGGGAAAATATGGTCACACCGAAAAGTGTGTTACAATCTAACAGTGTGTAATAACATATTAAGAAAGAATCAACACACATAGCTAAGAGAATTCATTCTTTGTTATTTCTTGCCAGTAGGTTGTAGTGCTATTTCATGATATTCGTTCATAATGTTTATTATTTGGTATAAAAAATGTATTTAACACTTATTGCACCCTCGTTATAAAAGTGTTTATTTTTTACATATTCCACGTATTAGTCCAATACCTTTTACTACCATAATACTCTTACTTTTTCAAATCCCAATGCAATTATTCCTTGCTAAGGAAGTAAATGTTTTTTTGTTCCTTGTTAGGAGGTTGTAGTGCTATTGCCTGATAAATGTTGCTTAGTACCTCCACAATGTTTGTCGCTTACTACACCCTCGTCTGAATGCAATATACTATCTCCTAAACAGTGCTTGTCAATGGCAAAATTTGGCAATTTCCATTAGTCAAGGCCAAATCAAAGGTAGAGTTCTAAGCTGAGGAAGTCATGTTAGAATTGGACTCAGTTAGTTTCTTTTTGCTACATATTAGCTGATTAGAGTTTGAGTTGGAGTTGTATAAGTAGTTTCTTGTTTAGGATAGAGTGCTAAGTCGATCCGATCTTAGTATAACCAGACTTAGTTTTGCCTATGGGTATAATATGTACACACATAGGGTTTTTGTAAGATAACAACAGTTCAAAACATATTTTTCGGTGCATCGCCAACCCTATTATTAGTTTTGACGAGTTCTTGTTTTTAACATGGTAGAGAGCTCTTACATAAGGGACTTATTTGGCGAATAGTTGATGGAAATTCAGTTGATGTAATCAAGGATAACTGGGACAAGAGGAACAGCCTTCTCAAACCACTTGGTTTTATCAATGCTTTACTATTCATCATTCTATAGTTAAAATTTTACAGTTTTCTTTAAAAAAATAAACTGCACTAAAGCTTTTATTGAGATGGATGGTCAACTATTATTTCAAAACTCAACAACTTTTCGCACATGGAAGGAGTACTACATAATTATGTTGCAAATAAAGGGGATACACAGCTACATATGCATAGATTAATCTTAAAAACACTCAATAAAATCATAATATATATATATATATATATATATAGACTGCGTGTCCTTGTTCAAAACACTAAGGCCTCCTTTAATGGTTGAGCTAGTGCACTAGCAAAAAGTCTACCTTTTTAATAGATTGTCTCATAGCACATTGTTCAAAATGCTTTGGGTTCCACAATCCCTCTCACATTTTTTTAGGAGCTTAGCTCTTGAAGAAGAGATAGTGCATTCTCTCTCCTTATCTTCTCTCTCTTCCACATCATACAAAAACTGATGTGGAGATTTATGAGCTAGCTGACTCACCCTTGTTGGAGGAGGCCTAAGTACTACCAACCTGGAGGGAGTACCGTGTTTTTTTTTAAAAAAAAACTGCACTAAACCATTTAGTAAAACAAATGGCCAACTATTATTGCAAAGCTCAACAACTTTGTACATATGGAGGAGTACATAACTTTCAAAACGGAGGGAGTGGGTACGCAATTTCTCCCTCTAGGTAGATAATACTTACCATTTTGGATAAAACTGATATCAAACTTTAAAATCTTTAACTAAGAATAATTTCTAAAATATTTCACTTATAAGTATTGAGACCATATGTATAGATTTGTCTTAAAAAGCACTTCAATAAATTCATATATTCGTTGATATTACTATATATATCATAATATAAAATAGTTGTCATAGTTATTTTTTGAACATCATGCGTATCCTTATCCAAAAGGATAAGTACTCCAATCTAGAAGGAGTACTGTGTTCTGGTTCATCTATATATTAGAGGCATGGTGCTATGCATTCGCATTCATAAATATCAAGCCAATCGGCAATCGCTGAGATTTACTAGTACTTACTGTACCTGCATAAATACATAAACACATACCATATTATGGCCTCGAGTGATACTCCTACCCATGAGGAGGCACTCAGTTTTGAGCCCTCGATATGGGGCGACTTCTTTATCAACTACGAACCACAACCATTGCAGGCATCACCACTACTCATTCCTATGTGTACATCTGCCCTTCTAATTTTAATTAATGCCATGCTAACTAGCTAATAGCTAGCTAATTCGATGGATCTATGCTATAATTTCATGCAGAGATCAGAGAGGTGGATGCAGGAGAGGGCTGAGAAGCTGAGAGGGCAAATCCAGACACTATTTGGGACCTGCCACGACATGTCGGCGAGGATGAACTTAGTGGATTCCGTCCAACATCTCGGAATTGATCACCTCTTCCAAGAGGAGATAGAAGATGCTCTAACAAGCATCCATGGCAGTGAATTCAGAAGCTCTAGTCTCTATGAGATTGCTCTTCGGTTTCGCTTGCTTAGGGAACATGGGTTTTGGGTGTCTCCAGGTATCCAAATGCATCCATCCACCTAATATATAGATAAATAGTTTATTATTCCGAGATTAGGAATTTTTGTCTTCGAGATTTGCTGAAGCTTACTTTTGTTCGTTTGCGACATTATAGAAATTTTTTAGTCTAAAACCATACGACACATGCAAAATAACAAAACACAGAAAATGTTCAAAACACGGGAAATGTACTAATTTGATGTCAGGTACAGCAAAAAAGCGACTGAAAAATTATGGGGGAAACTAATCATGTTACGTTACGGATAGAATAAGTCCAGCCATTACTGTGTTCAATGACAAATATTTTTTGTGACGCAGATGCATTCAATAAATTTAAGGGAGATGATGGCAAGTTTCGAAATGATATAGCGAATGACCCAAAGGGGCTACTAAGTTTATACAACGCTGCACACCTCCTCATTCATGGCGAGCCAGAACTTGAAGAAGCAATCTCATTTGCACGAAAACACCTTGAATTGATGAGTCAAGACAGTGTTCTCAACCCTCCATTAGCTGAGCAAGTCAAGCGTGCACTTAGCCTACCACTGCCAAGGACTTTCAAGAGAGTTGAGACTATTTGCTACATGTCGGAGTACGAACGAGAGGTGGGAAATATTCCACTTCTTCTTGAACTTGCGAAGCTAGATTTTAACCTCCTGCAACATATCCACTTGGAGGAACTCAAAGCAATTTCTGAGTATGCCTATCTATCAATCTCTTTGAGAATTCTCCACTGGATAAATAATATGCGGCTCTGTGCATCGTAGATATAACGGCTATGTGCATCCATTATCTAAAAATATAATTAATATGTTTTTTAATAATAATGGAATGAACTAAATAACTTAATTATTATGTGCAACTGAATTAACAGTATCGATGTGTTTTTGCAAATAAATTATTATGATAGCATGAATATATTGTCAGTAGTAATGCAGGTTATTATATAATCTCTGTTTTTTTTATAATACCTGTCATTTTAGCGTTGAATTTTATTTGAAGTAAATCCACATCCATTATTTTGGTCTTATCACATATCCAATACCCACAAGCTAGCCGTTAAAATAAAACTTAGCACCTTAATTGTGAATATAATTAATGGTCTTGTCACACTTTTGAAATAATTAATTTCAGATGGTGGAAAGATCTTTATGGATATATGGAGCTACGTTACATTAGGGATCGTACGATAGAGGCATACGCTTGGTCCTACATGATGTTCTACGAAGAAGACTTTGCATTCACCAGAATGTTTGTTGCCAAAATAATTGCACTGGATACTGTGATGGATGATACGTATGATGCTCATGCCACCGTTGAGGAATGCCGGCAGCTAAACACAGCCATACAAAGGTTGGATAAGTTCAGTTTGTTTTATTGATAACACATATATGATAAGTGAAGACAAACAGTAATATCTTAGCCTACAAATATTCAAAATAAGATATCCAAATTTGATATGGAGCATATCAAATTGACATTACTCCCTAATATATATTTAGGGATCGAGTAGGGAATGTTCAAATGACTTATATTTATGGATCAGGAGGAATATTAGATTTGTCTTGAAAAATACTTTCATGCAGTTATATTTTAAATACATTTATGTATGGATGGCATATGATTAGAAAAATTAATGATTAAAACTATGTTCTGAAGTTCGTGTCAATATTTTAATTCATAAGAAAGAAATATTGGATGGAACATAGTGACAAATAATGTATCCTAGCATGGCTAATTCTCATGCAAAACTAATTGCAGATGGGACAAAAGCGCTATTTCTATTTTGCCGGAGTACCTGAAAAAGTTCTATATTAAATTGCTAATCAACTTTGAGGAGTTTGAGCACCAAGTGTCCGACAACGAAAAATACAAGGTTACTTACACCAAACAAGAGGTAGAAGCATCCAAATATCTCTATGGGAAATTTTTTGTTATTACCACTATAAGTTATATTCTTATTTAGCGACAACCAACTAAATTTTGAGGTAGCGCGTGGCAAAAAAAAAAAGGAAACTTGATTTTGGGTGAGAAAAGCGAAATTACATACTTTTCAAGTGTCAACATAAAACTAATTTTTGCACATATATGTTCGGGTATTATTATGTTGTAGTTATTAATTTTGTTTTATTTGCTTATAGTTTCAAAGGCAGTCTACTTATTACCTACAAGAAGCTGAATGGTCCTACCAGAAACACAAGCCAAGCTTTAAAGATCAGGTGGTTTTGTCCACCAAATCCTCGGCCGTGCAATTAGTGTGTGTGGCTGCTATGATTGGCTGGGGTAATGCAGTGACGACAGAAGCATTCGAGTGGGCAGCTAGTGGTAATGATGCAGTCATAGCATGCGCAAAGATTGGACGTTTTATGAATGATATTGCTGCATTTAAGGTACATATATAGTAGTATTACTCTCACTGTTCTATTCGGCTTCTGGATTGTGAAATCAATACTAGCTTTATCCCATAATATGCATAGCCAAAATATAACCTCATAATACGGGACAGACTGAGTAGTCTGTGATTAATAGACATTTTTGTCATTGCCTTTTCTAATCAATATGTCCATCAAAATTGTAAAAAGTAACAATATGAAATTATTTTTTACAATAAGTCTACTAATGTCATTTTCGCTTGACAAGTCTTAATAACTGTAAATGTATTAATTTTTCATGATTTTGTGGCTCGTCTACGTATATTAAAAACATCATCTATTTAAGAACGGAATAAGTAAAAAAAACTCTTTTCACCAAGTAGTTAAATATAATTCTTTTTCACATTTTCATATGCATTATACACATGCAGTGTGGAAAGAACAAGGGAGATGTTGCGAGCTCCGTAGAGTGTTACATGAATGAGAATAGGGTCACAAGCGAGGTCGCCTTTGCAAAGATTGATTCACTGGTCGAAGATGAATGGAGAACCACGAACCAGACCCGCCTTGAGCATGGTACACTGCTGCCCATGGTGCAGCGAGTTGTGAACTTCACCGTTTCTATGGTACTCTTCTACGATGACAGGAATGATGCCTACACATTTGCCACACTTCTTAGGGAGATTATAGAGTCTCTCTTCGTGAGGCCTGCTCCCATCTAGACCTTAATGGTTAACTTTCTAGCCAATGTGGCAATCCATCTGCATGTATACTTGTATTGAATATGCTTTTGGCTTCTGTTATTCATGTTAACAATAAACTTGTGTGCTAAGCTACTTAATCTGCATGTGTTTCATTTTGAGTCTGTATGCGTGAGCCCACGATCTATGTGGATAGCCATCGCGAGGAGTCAGTTGTGAGGGCATCCGAGGCTAGCTCGCTGTCCGCGTCGTGCGCCGAATTCAAAGACACGTCGTGTGGCTGTGGGGATGGACGCAGCTAGATCACGGCGGCAGAATCGGTCCTGGTGGTTGTATTTCCAGTTTTTGAGTTGCTTTTTTTAAGGAAGTAAACAGAAAAGCAGCAATGGTTGCGCTCCACCAAAATGATTTCCTCTGTTTCCTCTCTCTCAGCTATTTGCAGGTTTAGCTACAGTTCGCGTGTGTTGTGTTTGGCCAAATTCCCGGGCTCGATCGTTGGGTAAATCCTGACAATTCATGTTATCGAGTAATGGATCCATGTTTTATTACTTCACTACCGTGTACAAAACCAGCGTGGGCCTTATGTGATTAGGTGACGGCCTACATTACCCTGGCCCGTTAAGCTATGTTGGTATATATCGACGACCGGAACCATCCTATGATTTTCGTGGGGTAAGAACCTAGGTCGAAGGCATAGCGTGCCTATGACCCGGGAACACGGCGCGTGCACATCTCCCGCGACGTCATGTTCGATGAGGCTTCACAGTGGAGGTGGGATGGCGAGACGGCGTCTGACCTCTACACCGACTTTGTCATCGAGTACAACACGGTGTACCACCCAAGCGCTAAGGCTGGACAACATCAAGGCCACAATGGATCACCCACGCCGGCCGCGACCTCGTCACGGACGACATCAAGCTCACCAGCACGCGGTTGAACACCTTCGGTGCACAGAGATGCATCTGAGGTGGAATTTGTGTCGCCACCACTTGGAGCTAAAGAGAACCTCGACGCTGATCATGATGACGTGCTGCTCCGTTACCGCACCATCGAGAATGTGTTGGGATCAGCCGCGCCGCTGGGGCTCGCATGACGGGAAGTTCTGGAAGAACTGATGTTGGTGAGCGGAGAAGAGCATGTGTCCTTCAGGCAGGCTGAGCAAGAGGAGGCTTCGCGTCGCGCCATGCTCGACGAAATTGCTTCAATTGAAGAAAACAAGACCTGGAGACTGGTTGATCTACCGCCTGGACATCGACCGATCAGGTTGAAGTGGGTGTACAAATTGAAGAAAGACGCTCGAGGGGTCGTCATCAAGCACAAGGCGCGACTGGTGGCCAAAGGCTATGTGCAGTGAGCCGGAATTGATTTTGATGAGGTATTCGCTCTAGTTACTCGTCTCGATTCTTTACGCCTGTTGCTTGCCCTTGCCGCGCAGGAAGGTGGAATGTTCATCACATGGACGTGAAATCAGCTTTCTTGAATGGGGAGCTAGCTGAGGAGGTATATGTTGCCCAACCACCGGGATTCGAAGTTGAGGGGGAAGAAACCAAAGTGTACTGGCTGGTCAAGGCACTGTACGGGCTACGACAAGTGCCCCGAGCTTGGAATACCAAGCTGGACTGTACTCTGAAGAAGCTAGGCTTTGTGCAAAGCCCGCTGGAGCATGGTTTATATGCACGCGGTGCTGGCGGTTCGAGACTGCTGGTTAGTGTTTACGTTGATGACTTGGTGATCTTTGGAGCAGATGATGCCATGATTGGTGATTTTAACAAGCAGATGATGGTTGAATTCAAGATGAGTTATCTTGGCCCTTTAAGTTTTTATCTGGGGATTCAGGTGATTCAGAAGGGGGTGCCATCAGTCTGAACCAGGCAGCCTATGCGACGAAGATCGTGGAGAAGGCTGGCCTTGTGGGATGCAATCCTTGTGCTACACCCATGGAGCCACGGCTGCGGCTTAGCAAGGAAAGTACAACGCCATTGGTAGATGCCACTGAATATAGAAGTTTGGTTGGGAGTCTATGCTATCTAGTGAACACTAGACCCGATCTTGCGTTCGCCGTTGGATATGTAAGCTGGTTCATGGAGAGACCAACGGACGAACACCTGGCAGCTGTGAAGAGAATCGTCCGGTATCTGGCGGGAACGATCCATCTGGGATGTCGCTACACAAAAGGTGGGGAGAAGAAGCTGCAAGGCTATAGTGACAGTGACATGGCTAGCGACATTGACACTCGCAAGAGCATTACCGTACCGGCGTGCTATTCTTTCTTGGTGAAAATTTGATCAGCTGGCAGTCACAGAAACAACGGGTTAACACTCTCATCATATGAGTCTGAATACATTGCAACAGGAACCCCCTCTAGCAATGGATTTATGTATTGCTACAAGTCCATATAAGTGCTGCAAAGGTCTACAGCAACGCATTTAGTATGTGTTGCCTATGCTGGCATTGCTAGGTTATACACGTTGCTGCTCGGTAGTAATATATAGATAAGTGTTGTAAATATCCGTTGCAAGTTAGCAACAAAGTGCAAAACAATACCAGAAGATTTATATGCACTGCTATTTTCAATTGCCAGTGATCATTACTCACATGACAATATTTCTATTAATAATTCACCGCAATATGATGTACAACTGATTTCATTTTAAAAAAAATAATTCATATATTATAAGCATAAATCTCAATATTCTTTACAAAGACCTCACAGAGATACAATTTGTCAATACACCACAACATAATACTGACTAGTCTAGCCTTACACTAAAAATATTTTATATCATTTTCCACAAACTTTGCTTCAATATTCCCGTGTTATAGGCAAATGTCCAAAATATGAAATCTTCCTGGGACTATTTAGGCGTGAAAGATCAACATTTACTTGTAAGTATCAAAGACTGGAGGAGATAACAAAAACCACTGATAGTAGTAAACAAAATGAAAGCTAGTTGATTACCTTTTAGTTCGAAGCATCTTCAGGATTATGTATTGTATGTCTTTTGCTGAAGAAAATGGCACATTGAAAATCTCAGCACTTATATACTTTATTTGGGAACTAACAAGAAGCAGGAACACCTTCATCGTTTCATTAAATAGTTTTTGGAATAAGGTTTACATATGAGGATAGTAGGAAAAGTTGCATGATTTCTTTCTTTCTGGTACTGAAGATAAATTATATCCAAGTGTGCCGCTATGGTCTTATATGATTTCCGACTCTACATGCTCTTCTGTAGCAATACCAAGTTATAGCTGATCTAATCAAATGAAATTGCCACAAAATTGACGTGCTCAAATTTATCACTGATGCAGTATTGTGATATATTATGAGTATGTATATATACGACAACACTTTTAAATGCTACAAGTCTAGGACACCAAACATGAAAGAGTTTAAGACAGCAGGCTGGAGGCATCTTTGTAATTTTCTATGTTGTTGTCCCCTGCAAAAAGGGTTGGCAGATCAAAACAATTAGTTGATCCAGAAGTTAATACATGTATTTGAGAATTAATATAATAGATGTAAAAAATCTGTGAAGTATGTATATATGATCTTGGTTCTTGAATTAATATTACTATAACGCAGTTTCAGTTTCAGGAATTATTATCATAGGACACAACCCCATTGTTTATGAACTCCATATGCTCTCGTTTCAGTCAGAACATGGCTTTGTTTGTGTAAGTAACATAGGAAAAATTATTATTAGAGCTTAGAAGACTAGGGCATAGGTTTACAATATCAATCTTATAGGCCTTGTTATTTAGAATATCAGTATTATGGAAAAAGAAGATGAACAATTTCTGCAATCCACATCTGCCTGTATGTATTAATCAGCAAGATGAAAATACTGCTTCCTTTTTGACATGCATATGTATCTTTCGTTGTGGCATGCTCATACCCATATATCTAAGATGATTAGAGGAAGTTGTAGCCTTCTCCGTGGAACAAAAATTAGCAACTTAACTACTACTGGTTGATTGCTGCAGCAAGGATTCGTAAATCATATGCACCATCGACACAAGAAAAAAAAAAGAAACAAATGAAGTAGATCTGCAGAGGAACAGAGCAGCTCAGAGCAAGAAAGAATTCAGGAGCAGAGAGCAAACCTTGATCTACAGTTCTACACGGTCCTTGTCGCACAGCTGCCGTCGTTTCTAGCCAGACTGGATGTCCCCCATGATCTGTGCGTCGCCGCTCGCCCGTCGCTGCACCCTGCCAACTCCTCCCATGACGCCGTGCCTAGCGTCCTACCTGCGCATCCCACCACACCATGCCTAGAGACCATGCCATTCCCGGAGGCCGACGGTCGGCTTGCAGCCACCGCGCCGCAAGAGATTGGACGGGATGGGGGATTCAGCGATACCTTTCGGGATCCGCATGCAGCAGGGACTTAGGGTTGGCCAGTTTGGGTGGGCTTAGTGGGCTGGGCAATTGGGGAGCTCATATGGTCAATGCGTTGCTGGATTGACTCAGTTACTGGTAGTTGTGGACCCAGCAACACATGAGAGATCCGTTGCAAGCCATGTGTTGGTGGAGGGGGGTTCGTGTTGTTGTGGCTGGGGAGATCCTGTCAACACTGGAGGGGAACTTGTAGACATCCTGACGAGCAAAATTCCAGGAACTGCGGGAACAAATTGGTATGATTTCGGTAGACTCAGCACATAAGGCTTAGGGGGAGTTTTGTTAACAATAAACTTGTGTGCTAACTTAGTTTATCTGCATGGGTTTCATTTTGAGTCTGTACGCGTGAGCCTATGATCTGTGTGAATAGCCATCGTGAGGGCATCTGAGGCTAGCTCGCTGTTCGCGTCGTGTGCCGGAATTTGAGGACACGTTGTGTGGCTGTGGGGATAGACGCAGCTAGATCACGGCAGTAGAATCGGTCCTAGTGGTTGTATTTCCGGTTTTTGAGTTGCTCTTTTTAAGGAAGTAAACAAAAAAGCATCAATGGTTGCGCTGCACCAAAATGATTTCCTCTGTTTCCTCTGTCTCCTCTGTCTCAGCGATTTGCAGGTTTAGCTAAAGTTCACGTGTGTTGTGTTCCGTCAAATTCCCGTGGTCGATCCTTGGGTAAGTCCATGTTTTATTACTTCACTATCCGTGTACAAAACCAGCATGGGCCTTATGCGATTAGGTGACGGGCTACATTGCCCTGGCCCGTTAAGCTATGTTGGTATATATGCTTTTGCCCACTTCTTTTTTTCCTTCTCACTGGTGGTATACACACTTGGGCTTTCTACTGGGAGAGTATGTGGGCTGGAATGCTGGTTTGAGCAGCCACATGGATTTGCTGACTTTACAGTATAGGGGATCTTTTTTTTTTTGAACTTCTACAGTACAGGGGATCTTGATTTTGTGGTTCGCCATGTTGATTTGTTTTTGGCTCCAATAGCTTGAAATTCTGATT